CGGTGGCGGGTGGCGGACAGGGGTGGGGAAGGGCTTCAGGGGGTGTCGGGACTGGGTGAGGTGGATGGAAAGGGCGGTCGGAAGAAGAAGGGCGGCAACAAGCACTCGAGGGCTGCGTTGGAGGCGCGAGCTCGAAGGTGAAAGGGGAAAGCACTGGAGGCTCGGCTCGGGGGCGGTTGCGGTAGACCGTTCCGGATAGGAGAGTGGGAGGTCGAGCGGAGAGGGGCCTGGGCAGAGGCGGTGTCGAAGCGGGTTCGAGTAGGCTGGGCAGCCTGGTGGGCAACGCGGATGGGCGGAGGTGCTGGCGGCGGCTCGTACGGCCAGCTGGAAGGAGACCGATGGGTGTGGGGTCTCGGCGTCCGAGGCTGTCTCCCGGCGAATGGGTGAGTGTCGGAGGGGATGGAGGCGAGCGGCTTGGTGGTATGGCACGTGTAGGGAGTCGGCTCGCTGGTTGGCACGAGGTTTCTTGAGGCTGAAGAGAGTATAAGAAGAGAGGGAGAAGAACGTGGGAGAGATGAAGAGGAAGAGGGGATGATGGTGACGGGTGAGGAGAACGTGAGAGAGAGAGAGAGGAAAACGTGGGCGTGAAAACCGAGGATAGGAGGTGTTGTATACTGGGTATTTATATAGCGTAGGGTTTGAGATTTAAATCAATAAAATAATTAAAAGAATTAATTACAGTATTTAAAAATTAAACTAATTACAAAATAATTTTCTACAAATAAAAATGTACTTGTTGTGCTAATACAACAGTTGATACGAAATAGTTAAAATATACACATATTGTACAATTAAACAGAATAATTAATAATAAAAATATATTTACTTACATTTAAAACCAAATAATTATAGGACAATTACCTATACGATAAAACGTACCAGTTGTGCTAATACGACAGTTGATACGTAGTAATTAAAGTAATACAATAATTTACACAAATAATACGTAATCAATAATTTAACATAATACACGAAATAATACGTAATAGTAACAATAATACAACGTATTATTTAAAATAATACGTAATAGTACCGATAATACAATAGATTAATTTTAGGAATTCTTACAGCACAAAATAAATTTATAATATTAATATCATTTAAATAAATATGAAACTTGGACATTAAATCATAGAAAAAATATCTAGAAAATTAAGAAAAATACAAATGCTCTTTTTTAAAATCATATTTAAATATTTTAAAATACTAGATAATTATTTTAATTAATATCAAAATTTTACGATCCTTACATCCTACCCCTCTTAAAACAAATTCCGCCCTCGGAATTAAAATAACAAGGATAAAATATAAAGATAGATTCATTCAACTCATATAAGTTCAAAATATATTGCATATCCATAAGTAAAAGTCATACAATACGATTCAAAATAAGATACAAGACTGGACAGCTAGGATTCAGAAAATAAATGAGGGTATCGCTGTCGCATCTCAGACTCAGTTTCCCAAGTCGACTCTCCAGGAGAATCTGGGTGCCACATCACACGAACAAGCAAGACGGTCTTGTTCTGGAGGGTCTTCTCCCATCGGTCCAGAACCGCCACTAGCTGCTTCTCGTATGTCAAATCGAATCACACCTCAATCTCCAAGAAATCTATGACATGACTCGGATCTCCGATGTATCTTCGTAACTGAGAAACGTGGAATACGTTATGTACTCCAGCTAAGGCGGGTGGTAATGCAAGTCGGTACGCCACTTCTTCCACTCTCTCTAATACGTCGAAAGGTCCCACATATCGCGGACTTAACTTCCCACGTCTTCCAAAGCGAATGGTGCCTCGGTTGGGAGAAATCTTCAGGAATACATGATCTCCCGACTGAAACTCCAAATACCGGTGCTTCGCATCTGCCCAATGCTTGAATCTGTCATGTGCTATGCGAAGTCACTCTCGAATGATCCTGACTACATCAACTGATCTCTCAATCAACTCTGGCCCAAAAACCTCTCGCTCACCAACATCGTCCCAACTCAGCAGAGAACAGCACTTCCTGCCATACAATGTTGCAAAAGGGGCCATTCCAATACTAGCCTGGAAGCTATTATTGTATGCAAACTCCATCAAATGCAAGTGATCTTCCCACGACCCGTAGAAGTCAAGCATACAAGCTCTAAGCATATCCTCCAAAATCTGAATGGTCCTCTCTGACTGCCCATTGGTCTGAGGATGATAAGCTGTGCTAAAACTGAGACTAGTCCCCAGACTCGCCTGCAAGCTCTTCCAGAACTCGGAAGTAAATCGAGTATCACGATCCGAGACGATGCACACTGGAACTCCATGCAATTGCACGATCTCCTGCAATACAAGAGATTTACTAACACTCTTGGAAAAGGAACTCCTTGAAACATATAGAGATAAATATTTTACCTTCATGTATCTCTGAGCAAGATGCTCCATCGACTGTCCCACTCGGAAAGGAATGAAGTGAGCTGATTTGGTTAATCGATCTACGATCACCCAAACAGCGTCATTTTGTCTAGTGCTCCGAGGTCAGCCAGTAACGAAGTCCATGGTGACATGATGCCACTTTCATTCCGGAATAGGCAATGGCTGCAAAAGACCTGCAATGCACTGATGCTCTACCTTCACCTGCTGACATACAATGCACTTAGCCACACTACGAGCCACATCTCTCTTCATACCACGCCACCAATAATTCAGCTTCAGATCCTTATACATCTTCGTACCTCCAGGGTGAATAGAATACGGTGACCTGTGAGCTTCTCGTAATAACTCCTCTCGAACATCTCCTTCTGGTACACAGATACGACTCCCAAATCGTAAGGATCCGTCCTCATGAACAACAAATTCCGACCGAAGAGCAGTCGTTGCTAACTCTCTGTACTTCTGAAGAAATGAGTCACCTGACTGTGCAGCCTTGATTCACTCGACCAGTGTCGATTGAATCTGAAGATTCATTAAAGAAGCAGTGACTCCTGGAAGAAGAACTTCTATACTCATATCCCTCACTTCCTTGATCGTCGACAAATGACTAAAGCATCTGGTACCACATTGACCTTGCCAGGGTGGTACTGAAGGTCGATGTCATAATCTGCCATCAGCTCTAACCATCGGCGTTGCCTCATGTTAAGCTCCTTTTGAGTAAATATGTACTTCAAACTCTTGTGGTCAGTGAACACCTTCACTTGCTCTCCCAACAGATAATGCCTCCAAAGCTTAAAGGCAAAAATTACAGCTGCCAACTCCAAGTCGTGGGTAGGATAATTCTGCTCATGCTTCTTCAACTGACGAGAAGCATATGCCACCACATGACCATCCTACTGAAGAACGCATCCTAATCCTCTACCTGATGCGTCGCAAAACACCTCAAAGTTCCCTCTCTTATCTGGTATGGTCAAGACCGGGGCCGAAATCAGTCGTGACTTTAACTCCTCAAACGCCTGCTCACAAGCGTCAGACTAGACAAACTTAATATCCTTCCTCGTAAGTCGCGTCATCGGCTTCGCAACCTTCGAAAAATCTCTGATGAAGTGATGGTAGTAACCAGCTAATCCTAGGAAGCTCTTAATGTCAGACGCTGACTTAGGGGTAGGCCAATTATTCACTGTAGATACTTTCTCCGGATCCACTGATATGCCGTCTCCTGACACCACGTGCCCCAGAAACGCTATACGATCTAGCCAAAATTAGCACTTACTATACTTGGCGAATAGCCGATGCTCCCTCAAGGTCTTCAATACGTACTGCAAATTGTTTGTTGGAAAAATTGCAAAGAAGAGAATAAAGAAAATTGACTTGGATTCCTTTGATCTCGATTACAACTTGATTACAAAAGAGGAGAGAACGAATTTGATTCTCTCCTTTGTTGAAAACCTTGTAGCTTCTTCTGTGTTGCATTGCAAGGACCGTTGTTCAATAATCCTGGCTTTAGCTGTTGTGGAGAGTGAAAGTCGTCAGACTGTAACTTTCACTGTAGATTGTGAAGACCGCTGAATAGAGTTTTCATCCGTTGTCGGAAGTGTCGTTGAATTGTAACTCCTCTCGATCTATGTGAAAAGCCCTCCATTCGCAACTTTCGTTCACCGACCCGAAAGCTATTTGATTGTAGCTTTCGTTGTAGGAGCTAGACGGGAATCAACATCCATAGTGTCTTAAAGATGAATATTCGCCCATAGCTCTCTATCAAGCAACTCACCAACTGAGTCCAACTTTTTATTTCTGAAATCGTCCCACTGCTCATCAGCATCTCTAATAATTGCTACGATATTAGCCATGCTGTTGTCACAGCCGTCAAGATCAATCATCTCAGAGGTGAGGTCGCGTTTGAACCAATTGTGGAGTTGCGGATATAGTGATTGGGAAGTCGTCTGATTGTGACCTCCATTATCGGAGCTTATTTGGATCAGCTATCTATTGTGATTTTTAGACAGCCTACAGAACCCCCTCTAAAGTTTTTGAAAGTTCACGGTTGGCCGGGACGAATTTTCGGAATACTTTGGATCCTAAAATTTGGTGGATTGATTGCTCACTCTGTTTGATCGGGCCAGATGATTTCGCCGTTGTTGATTGTGATCTATCTGTACTCCTCCAATAGACTCCCCAGTGGAGTCGTTTGTTTCTTCCCAGCTTTATTCGCCTTGATGATTGCTGTTAGCTCTTCTGTTAGTTATCAGGGGCCGTGTCGTGGCCTTGGTAGTCAAGAAGTTGCTAACATAGCGGTCTAAACACAGAGATAATTTCTGCCTTTGGGGATTGGAACGCGTGGGTGAGCCCAGCGTTGAGAATTTTGAACGCGAACGTGAGCCATCGCGTTTGGAAGCTCAACCAACTCGAACGCGAGGGTCGGGTTTGGGCGGGCTGATGGCCTCGAATCCCGTCCGTTACGATTTGACAGCTCATAGCTGTCTATAAATAGACCGCTAGGGGTCAAATCAAGAGTCTTTCGACTCTTCTTGAAACCTTAACGAAAAATTTTCGTTCTTATCTCCGGCGAAAACTGTTCTTCTTCTCCGACGAGATTCAATGGCACCCAAGAAGCCAACCGCTTCCAAATTTCATCTCCTCCGACGAGATCTTATGGCACCCAAGAAGCCCGTCGCTCCCAAGTCCGATGCCGCTGCGGCTCGGGGATCTGCATCATCAGCGCCGGCCAGCGGCGCCGCTGCTCAGGCGAATGTGACGCCCCAGCTTCCTTTGATTGGCGGTGAGTATGACCTCCGTGGTCATTAAACTTGCTTCGGCAAGTTCTGATCTTGAGATCAACGAGGAAACTCGTTTCAATAACGCGGGGCTGGACTCCGTCGTTTCATCTTTCTTGACGCGGGGGTCGACCTGCGCGTCTGAGATTTTTGACGCGAGGGTCAACCTACGCGTCTGAACTTTCTGACGCGGGGTTCGACTTTTGCGTCTAAGCTTGTTTGACGCGGGGTTCGACCTTCGCGTTTGAGCTTGTTTGACGCGGGGTTTGACCTTCGCATCTGAGCTTTGATTTTGAGTTGTCTAAATCTTTTCCTCTTTTTGCAGTGCGTCATACTAGCGAGCCTCTTCTTTTTCGCCACCATTTTGGACATGAAGGTGGTGCAGACATGACCATAACCTTCAGCTTGCGTTTAGAACTCCCAGTTTTCCGGATGAGGGAGAAGAGTCGCGTGGAACTGATCACCCAAGCTTCTCATGACACTCTTAGGACATTGGTTTCGGACGCTCGACTTGAAAGCCCAAGCCGTAGGCCAATAGTCAAACCTGGATACCTCTTCGGGGACTTTGTTGACTTCGCTTATGATGGGGGCTATAAGTGGCTGCGGAGAGTTGAGGAACGCAACCTTTTCTTGCCCAACATGGAGAGGATGTTCCCCCTATCTTATTTCCAATGCGCTTCCGTCCCGAGGCGTATGGATTGGCCCCTGGTTAAGGATCAAGATGGGGTTGCTCTCGGAGCTCTGACTTTCTACGGGGTTCGCCCCGTTGGTTATAATCGGCAGGTGACAGCTTTACGGCCGAGTTTATTTGCTAAGGAGTATCCCCTTGGCGAAGTACCCAGTCCGACAAAGACCTTCGTTAAGAGGTTCTTGGAAAAGAAAGGAGAGTTTCCCGCGCAAGGATTTAGAACTCCTGGCTGGGTTCATTCTCCGGCGACGGGATGGTGGGCCCAGATGACCAAGTTTGTTCTGAAAGAGTTGGAAGCCCCTCTTGCCCAAGCCGGATTGCTGGTTTCTGTGCGGGTTACTGAGTTCGGGATTATCCAGAGCCACTTTCACTTCTTCTCTATACTGGAGAAGTATAATCCTGATAGTTGTACTTTCTTCACCCCTGTGGGGGAGCTAGGCTTCGCCCTTCACGAGATGCACGAAGTCTCGGGTCTTGTTCTCGGGGATTTGCCGTATGAAGAGTTCGTTCCGGGATCGGCGGAACTCCAGATTTTAAAGAGGACCAGTCCGGAAATTTATGCCACTCTCTGGGAAGTCATGTGTCACTTCCACATTTGCATGCAGCTGACGGGGGCCCGTGGAGGTGGCATTAAGCAAGTGTCTTGGGCGGAATATTTATTCCATAACTTGACCACTAAAGGGGCCTCGGTGACCCGATTGCCCGTCAGTACTTTGGAAGAGGTTCAGGCTCGTATTGACGACGCTACCTCCCATTACACTAACGAGGCCAAGGAAGATGTTTTCCCGGCTCACACAGAGTTTGAGAGCTTTCATTATCAAGCTCTGATTCCAATTCCCGACACAGCGCTGCTAGCCGGGTTCCTAATGTTGTGGCTCAAACGCTGTGTCGTCCCTACTAGGCCGGTCGATGCCCTTGCCGTTGAGGTGGTCTACCCAGCAGTCCTCTTGGCGCATGGGAGACCTGTGAGCCTCCTCAGTGCTATGGTGGGTTATCTGCAGTATGGATTACGAGAGTTGGCCTCTGACTTTGTTGATGTTACAGAGGTGGAGTCCGAGGGCCACAAGACCTTCAAAACTCCCAATCCCCGGGTGCCGATGCCATATACATATTTGATGGCTTGGTACGTGCTCCACTGTCCTCCTATAATGAGTGCAGCTTCTCCCCCGGGAGACTCATTCATCCCATTTGTGCAGCGACTAGAGTCTGCGAAATGGGAAGGGGGGTACATGGTTAGAATCCGCCAAATCTTAGCGCGGGACACCAACTTCCATATCTATCGCTGTTTCCCTGATTTTGAGGGCGGCGTCTATGGCGCAGAGTATCAGGACGTAGCGGGTTCTAATGGATTCACTCATCTGAACGGGGGTGTTTTCCATTGGCTTCTATCCATCAGGCCAGGCTACCTGATCTTTCGGCAAGGCGTCAACTGTTTCATTGAACCTTACCAACCCTATAGGTTCGCTCGCCAATTTGGGTATGATCAGTTGTATGTCGGGAACCCTCGTCCTCAACTCTCAGTTATAGCCAACTTATATGAAGGAGCCAGGGCTTGGTATTATTCTGTGGCAGGTTGTACCAAAGCCATCTTCAAGCTTCCCCACAAAACTACTAACTCCTATACCTCCATCAGCTTCTGCAATTGGTATTACGCTGCTTCTCAGACTCCCAACTTCAACTTGAATACATCTTGCCTGAAGGACATTAGGCATATGTATAATTCAAGAAAGGGGTCTAAGACGTCTCGCTTGAGGGGGATCGATGAGTTTCTATCCATCGAGAGTCAGCCTGCCGAACAGGAAGAGGAACAAGGAGCTGAGCCCGTTCCAGTGGAAGAACAACGAGCGGCTGATCCTCCTATGACAAGAGCAGCGGGGAAAAGAAAACTTTCTGCTGATGAAGCTGCCATCGATGACGTCACCACTTTTGATGATGATGCTCCCAAGGTCCCATCCGATAAAGTATCTGGTTATACTCCTTTTCACATCTCCGGTAAGTCTAGTTTCCTTCGACTTCTTCCGCATGTGTTTTCTGCGTTCTGACCCTTTTTCCGTGCAGGTTCACCTTCTCCAGGGACCACTGCTGCTACTGCTTCAGAGCCAGAACCTGCCCAGGTGTCGGCTCCTTTAGAAGAGCAACATTTACGTGGCTCTCCTACGGCAACTGTTCCACCTGTAGCGTTGCCTGAAACTACTGTCGCGGCTCCTCCTCCGGAGCAGCAGCTCGTGCCGGTGTTGGCTCCTGTGCAAGAGCAGCCTACACCTGTAGTGTTGCCTGAGACTACTGTAGCTGCTTCGCCTACTGCATTGCTAAAGATCTCGCTTACTCCAACAGAGGCACAGCCAAGCACATCTCACGCAAGGGCGATGATGGCTTTAACCTCAAGCCCTTCACAATTGAATATTTCTACCGCTACCGCAGCTTCGGCGCCAGGATCCCCTGCACTAACTTCGATGGCTAGAGGGGTGTCGTCGGCTATGGTTTCTAGTCTCGCTGACGCACCTGAATTTCTCCAGATCTCCCTGGTATATCTAAATAGCCTCGCGAAGACAGTAGTCGATTACATGGTGAATGGTCGGGGGACTTTGAATTCCTTCCGACCACTTTTAGAGGCAGGCCTGAATGGAGTCAGGAGTGTGGGCAATATTCAGTGGTTCGAGCGCTGTTCAGAAATTATTCTCCACTTGGAAGAGCAATTACAACGCTTCGAAGCCCTGGGCCAGAAAGAACTTCAGCCAGAGATTGTGTCCACTATGGCCAGTCTTCAGGTTGCAGAAGTGGCTCGCCGGGAGGCGGTAGAGCGGGACTTGGCTGAAAGAGAACGTCAAGTTGCAGAGCTTCATGAGCGTAATATTCGGAAGCAAGAAGAGTTAGAACGCTCGACAACTTCTATGAATTCGCTTCGTGATAGACTTGTCGAAGCTGAGGCCGAAGTCCTGCGCTTAAAGGCTGAACTTTCCCGTGAAGAAAACGTTGTCAATATCCTTAGCACCCAAAATACCACTGGAACTTTGGAATATCATACGCAGGCTCGAGCTTTGGCACAAGCCAGGAATGAAGCAGCGGCCATCATCGTAC